TATTAATTGAAAGCATTGGAATTTTGAATAAGATAGAGTTGTTACATACTTAACTTTTCCTATTATTTAATTACTTTTAGTTTTGAATCCATTATCATAAACTGGCATTAACTAAAATGTAATTTTTTTTATAATAATTTTAATTAATTTCAATAAGTACTCCCCAACTTCAACTCTACACTGTATATTTTTTAGCAAAGAAGTACCATCCAACTATAATTTCTTGGCGGATGATACTTGACCATAATGAAAGGTATCATACAAATGTCGACAATTTAAACTTTTCAGGTACCAACAATTGGATATAAAGAATGAGGTTAGCCCATAATTGGAGGCTTTAAGTCATATGATTAAACTAATTTTCCGTCTTTGGTTCCTAAAGTGGTTGGAGTAGTCCACAAATAAAGTTAAAGCCTAATGAATTAGAGATATGTTCTTGCCATAAATAGTATCCTACGAGGACTAGCAAGTAGCAACCATTGTATTACTACTGGCTGTTTGGTTAGAAAGAAAACAATGCTCAAAATATTGAAACCTTCTAAATGTCTATCATTTCCCTTAATTTTTTTATGTTAAAACCTTTGCTAAATCACATTCTTTTTTGATAGTGAATTAGTATAAAATTAAAAATTGAAAATTAAAATATTGGGTGTGCATGGTTTCATCTTCAAAAATGGTTTTAAAAAATTATGAAACTGAAAATAATTTACAAAGTCCTTTTTTAAGTCTACTTCACGGAACAATTCAAACAAACCTAATCAATCAATTGAAATTTCGAACTATTTAAGTTTTTTTATATCCTCTCAAATTAGAAAACTATTTTTAAAAGAATAATGATAGAAAAATGGAATGATTATCTTCGAGCTTTTCCCGAATATGACGTGGCCAAGCCACGTCAAGTTAATTAAACGTCTTTAACGTGAGTATTTTAACGTGTTCTCTAACCTCACATGGCTTGTGTAGGTTTGTCTCTTCTTTAACCCTACAAACAGTACCCTAACACTTAATGGCGACCCAGTTAACTGCGATTCAACCAAAAACATAGAAGAAAAAAAGGAGGGGTCGTGAGAGAGTGTGTTATTCAATTCCACCTTTCGGAATCAGACGATGAGTTTCAAATTTTTTTACCAAAAAAAGTCGAATTATATACGGTTAACCTACATGCCCAAATTAAAATTTATGTGAATAAAATTAATAGATATAACCAATAAATAAATAGATGACATAACTTATAATGGGTTTGTGGTGATATTCGTGTATATATACAAATATATGTAATATTTTCTTTGCTGATTTGATATTTGTGTTTTCTTATCAATTGCAGTGTTTGAAGAAACCACTTCATTTTTTTTTTTTTTTCGTTTCGAGATTGGTGATCGAACAAAGTTCAAATTTAGATTGTGGGTGAAAATCCTCATTCTGTAAACAAAACTCATATCTTGAGCTTTGAGGTCAGATTAACCTATGTTTTGAGGTTGAAGACGGACGATGAACAGTGAAGAGCCCACTCAAGGCACGTGAGGAGAGAGAAAATGTTCAAAAACTCATCTTACGGATGTTTAATGAATGTAATGTGATATGATTTCGTTACATGGAGATCGATGAGAATTCGAGAATAACCATTCGATTTCTCTATCACTACTCTTTTTTAGAAAGGACTCTTAATTATTAATTATGTTAGTTTGTTATACGTCCCACTAGGAATAAAATAACACAAAACGAGGGATGGGTGTAAAAATTATTTTCAACAAAATGAAAAACAATCTGATCAGCACAATTAAATCAAATGGGAAGTAAAGACTGAAAAGTTAAAACCCTACTTGATTAAGACTTGTTCGCTATAATTTTTATATATGTTCAACTACACATCGATTAGTGAAAGGACGTGACATGATCTGCTATGTAAATCATTGAATGAATACCGGTAATTAAACACATTCATGGTTCAATGTTTCAAACTTTAAGTTACTCACAGATTATACGCTATCAGCTATGCATGGTTTATAAATAATTATAAATCAAGTTGAAATAGAGATAACATTATGAATTGATTCCCATTTTGTAAATATTATTCGCTTTGTATAATTTTTTATTTTTTACCACACGTGTCTACATGCTTAGAATGTACATTTAAGAACAATGTAATGATAAAAATTTGACTGAAAATTCTGGATTCAACTCATTTACTAGTAACTTTAATGATAAAAATAAGATGAAATTTTTTAAAAATAAAATATTTGATGCATGTACTCAGAAACAAACATGTGCTATTCAAATTGAAATCCTCTACTCAGTTTAAACTCGAATTTAACTAACTTGTTTACTTTGATATTAAAGAAATGTTAAAGAAAGCTTTGATGAATTGAATCGTAGTTGTTCAGCAGTCCTAGTCGAAATAAATAAATGATAGACACAACATTGAATCTCGGTTATCAGTCTTATGAGTCTTAGATGATAGAGTCATCACTATCTTCGTTTAAATTTAGTCAAAAAATGCCATCAAATCAGAATGTCTATGTCGCATATTCAATATGTATGCAACAATCCGATACCATGATAGTTTAATTTAATTGTTACCCTTTTTAACAATGGTGAGATATCATTGTGAAGGAAGGAAAGAAGGAATGGTGGCCCAGCAGTTTGGAGCTTAGAAATTCAAAGTCTGAGATTCAAGTTTTAACGAGTGTTATTTGTGGTTAGTCTCCGCTATTCCTACGGTGATTTAGCCGGTTCGGGTGGGGAAACACATTTTTGAATCCTCGGAGATTAGTCAAGTTGTTGATGGCCTAAAGTTCGTGCCTTTTCGGACACCCGACTTAAAAAAAAAAAAAAAAAAAGGAAAGAAAGAAAGAAAAAAAGAATAAAACCTAAAAAAATTTCAATAAAAAATCTTGATTGAAAAAATGGTTCTGGAAATTGGACATCCTAATCAAGCAAAACTAAAAAAAGGCATAAACTCAAATGGGGCCACCAGTTTCGCAGCCCTGGAGTTGTCTTACTCAAATGTGAAAGTTGGATAGTAAATGAAATGTAGCTTCAATTTAACCAACAGTAGGAAGGTATGTTTGAGTGAAAGTTACAAAAGTCAGGAATGCGACAAAGCTAGGAAATGATGATGATGATGCTGCTTACTGATAGAATATATATATATATAAGCATATACACACACATAGCTGTAGTACTGTTGTTGGTGATTGTTTGTTGATATAAGTAAGCATTATCACTAGTGTTTGTGATTGTAATGACAGTGGGGGCAATTACCACTGCAACTTATATATACTAGAAAATTGTCAAGTGGTCACAGCAATATTATGGATCTAGTCATCATAAACAATCAAGCATTTAGCTATATATATATGTTTACACTTGTGTGATTACAACTAAATGCTTGATTGTTTATGATGACTAGATCCATAATATTGCTGTTGTTTCTCACTACTAAAAACTTGCATCAATAACCAAACCAAAAGAAAATAATATACATTGTAGAAATGTATCATTTGAAACCTGCGTGAATGTAACAGTTAGTAGTTTCTTTTCTTTTTTTCTTTTTTTTAAAAAGATTTAATTTTAATTTATTTTATTTTATGGGTATAGTTTTGGTGTAAAGTATAATTATTAATAGGAAAAGTGATAAAAGTTCGGACTCAGTATTTTTACCGATTAAAGTATTCAATGTGAATTTGAATATTTTGAAAAGAGAGAAACATGTCTTTATTCATCACTAATTAAGAGTCTTTGTTGACTGTTGATTAGAATAACTTAAAAAAATCAATAGTCTAAGTGTAACAGTACTCCCATTTGTATCATTGTTTTTTATTTTAGTTATTGGACACTGAAAATATTTAATAGTCAACATCATCTCAGAATATGTTATGTGCCTAACCCTCCCCTCCCAGAGTCAAAAATATTGAACGGTTTAAAACTACAACTGAGATACAAGTGTCTTCTTTTTCTTTTTCCCCTGCATTTTTTATTTTTATTTTTATTTTTATTTTTATTTTTTAAAAAATCAACTCCATTCCTAGGACAAAGTAGGAGGCATTAGATCGATCAAAATGCATGAAACAATTATAACAATTGATATTCTTTTCTCTTCTTTTTCTAAAAAATAAAATAAAATAAAGAAAGTTTCAATTGTTGTCATTTCTTAAAATCCCATATATATATATATATATGACATTCTAATGGAGCAAAATCCATCTTAATATTAATTAATAAGGGAAATGACCTGACCTTAACAAATGCTTGATTACTTGCATAGCTAATTCCAGTTTTTAAGCTTGAAATCAATTACAAAAATCATGCTTTCACTAATTTTAAATTTGTTCTTTTCATATAGTTAGGGATGAGATTTTAGTAAAATTCAGTTATACTAATTAGAAGACACACTTCCCTTTTCATATAAACACACACACATATATATTTATATGGGCTTCCACTAAAGCCATTATAAGTGTCCACTTTGAAGTCATCCTTAGTCCATCTAGAAATAGAGGCAGACAAGTTTCATCACCTTAAACACTCCGAGGATGTATGCTACATCTTTTTTATGTTCCTCCCCCCCATTTTACTATTTAATTAACTAAGATTAAATCCCATCCTAACTTATCTTACTTGCACCACTACCTAGGTTTCAAAATCATAATGCTAATTTTGATAATATGATGCTTGATAAATTATAATGATTGCTTAGCTGATGGTAACATAAATATTAATAAATTAACTATTAGCCATCCAGAATATATATATATATATATATATATATATATATATATATATATATATATATATAATGCTAATTATGCCACTAAAGGAAGAAAATAAAGCCATAGGAGGAAGAAAAAAAAGGAGCTAAAGCACTTCCATTGGACCCCTTTCATGTCTCTTCCGTAGTCCCATTATGTGATTTACTCCATCTTTCTCCACTCCAATTCTCTTCTCTAGCTTGTACCCCCAATAGTATTTTCCATTCTCTTGCCAAACATTTTCCAATAGCAATGTCAAGTGACAAAGGAAAAGAATCAGGAGAAGGATCTTCAAGATCCACTGCTGATCATCAGCAACAACCAACTCAGCTGAGCCGTTATGAGTCTCAGAAGCGGCGTGATTGGAACACTTTTGGTCACTACTTGAAGAACCATAGGCCACCGGTATCGATGTCACAGTGCAACTCTAACCATGTTCTAGATTTCCTTAGATATCTTGATCAGTTTGGGAAGACGAAGGTGCACTTTCAAGGGTGTGTCTTCTTTGGACACCCCCAACCAGCAGGGCCTTGCACTTGCCCCCTCAGGCAAGCTTGGGGAAGCCTCGATGCCCTCATAGGCCGGCTTAGGGCTGCTTATGAAGAAAATGGTGGCTTGTCAGAGACAAACCCTTTTGCCAGCAGCACTATACGGATCTATCTGCGCGAGGTGAGGGACTCTCAAGCTAAGGCACGGGGCATACAGTATAAGAAGAAGAAGAAGAAGAAGAAGATGATGGATCAAATGATGGCCAACGACCAACCCTTAAAATGTCCTAAGCAGTCACCTTGATTGTTTTTGGCTTCTCAACATGATGGTAATTTTTTACATTTTTTATTACTCCTATAAAAATGGCTAGTTATTTTATTGAGGAATAGCATGAAATTTTCCGTTAATTACTTTAATAAATGATAAAACTGTGAGATACAATGGTGTATTGGTGGTGATGTGGAATTTTAAGGTGGTGTTAGTTCATTAGTATTCTACTTGAGAGTTAGACATTAGATTGGTTATAGTTCTGTTAGGAAATCCTACAAAAAGAAATGAAATTGAATGATTGAACTATGAGATGATACGTTCTATATATATATATATATATATATCAGAAATAGAGAGGCCATTTCATTGGCTTCATAAGAAACCCTAGGACAGGAGTTTCAGAACCCTCAGCCCCAAAAATGGTTTTTCAAAACCGTAGTCTGCATAGTTTCTTTGAGAGTAAAGACACAGAATAAGTTATATGACTTTATCATAATATCTTTTACACTCACCTAGGTTAGGGCAATGATGAAAATCCCCCCCTCTCTCTCTCTCTATCACACACACACATGCAAAATAACAGTTTTTTTTTTTTTTTTAAATATTTCTCATTTGTTTCTCTACTTTTCTCTATTTTTGGCTCTTTCAAGATTCTTCACGATCTTGTGCCCGTCATGCATGGCCATCAGGTATGATCAGAATAGGTATATGGGCATAATATATAGCAAGTAATCGAAAATTAAAATAAAGAAATGCTTATATTTGATGTCTTTGCTTGTGATTGTTGATACATCAGCTGTTAGCTATAGTCTTAGATTTCTGAGATCTTAAATGGAAGACAAAACCCTATGTCCATCTTGCTTGTATGCCTCGTGTTTTTGTAATGTTCCAATTGCATTAATGACCTTTTCTTTGGTAATTAATATTGCTAACCAGATTGCCTTTTGTCTGTATCAAATAAGTGCCAAAAAAACTATATAATATATCCTCCTACATTAACCATGTAGTCTCCTTTTAGATTGATTAAATTCTAAGTTAATTTCCACTAGGGTTCCCAAATTAACTATATATCCGAACAAATCACAAATTTTGTTAACATTCTAACATTTTTTTAGCTAATATATGCCGTAACTACTCTTCTAGATTTAATCATTCTTGGATCCTCACGAAATTATTTCCCTTGTGTTGCTGTCTATCAGTGTACTAATATATAACATCTTGAATGTCATCTGTTTCTATCATCTCTCTATAGCCTTTTTTGTTTTTTTTTTTTTAGTTAAAGGGTAAGAGGCCAAAATAATTCAGTCCTTTTATTTTACATATTTTTGGTACCTTGTCTATGAATGTACAACGATAAAGTGCTGGTATGACATTTAAAACAAGGTTAAGGTTACGAGTTTGAATTTAGCATTGATAAAAGAAATGTTGTTGGTTGTCCTAGAAAGCGTTTTATTGAATAGATAATAATTGAAGATATAAACTTCTTCTTATTAACACAATTACCTTATAATGTGCGAGAACTCTTGATCTACATCCGAATTTCCGTAATTTTAGAACACAAGTCTTCCACCAACCACTATCTTCAAGTGGCTCCAATCCAAAATAACTTGAATGGAAGAATAAATATCAGATTCTTCTTAGCTGGCTACATGCTACGTTAACTCCTCAAGTATTCGCACAAGTTATGGGTCACAGAGCCTTAGATCGCGCTTACATGTCTTAGACAGATGCTAGGCATTTTTAGATCAAGCATGAACTTTCCAATATTCGGAAAGGATCTTCTTCAATCATTGAAGATATCATTAGCTAATCTCTTAACAGTGGTCTATAATTCATGAAATATCCATAAAATTTTGCAAATAACCATTCCAATTATTTTAGCAAAATTTATCAATTTTCTCATATCTTTTTCTTTTTTTTGAATGGTAATTTTCTCAGTATCTTTAGTTTTCACCAATGTATATGTTTTTAACTCCTCTACTTGGAATTATTGCAGGCTCCATACAGTTTTGCAGATCCTTGCAAGCTTCAGTATGTTTGGAGCTCTACATGATTGTTCAGCTTGGGAAAAGGAAAACAGATTGAATTAGATTTGAAATGAAATCCCATTTGTTATTTGGAATAAGCTGGAATTTGATCATAAAGGAAATATTTCTTTTCCCATTTTATCCTTATTGACTTGAAATGCAATCTTATATATGTATGTTTTCATTAAAAAGAAGGGCAAGTTACAAAATTTATCAGTTAACCAATTATAAATCTCACCAAATTTCGTGAAATTTCAATTCCTATGAACAGTTAGTATATGTTTTGATATATATATTTATTGTTGTATCAATACTAGCTAATAAGTTAATCTCATTCTCACACATCTAAGACGAAATTATGTGTGTAGTTTGAAGGTGTAAGATTCGACTTTATATAAGGTAAAAAAAATTTATGAGCCATTATTGGAAATGACAGGTGAGTCAGAAGTCCCTCAACTATATATATTAGTACCAAGTAGTCATAATAATTGAGAGAGGAATTTTACTTTTTCGTGTGGATTATATGATGCTATGTCCTACTTATGATCTATCCTATATTATTTGGTCCACGGGGGATTTTGGATTTTTCTTCACTTCACTCATTTCTATTGTTTTGGAGATAGCAATGCAGTCTGTTTGTTTCAAAAGGTTAATTACACTCAACCACATCAAAATTTTGAATTTTCTGAGAATTTAAGATCAACATAAAAAAGTTGAAACTATTCGAGGTTATTAGTGGAACAAATCCATAGATTCTCCTTAATCCATGACTGAATTAAGCAATTACACACACACACACTATCTAAAGGGTATCAATGGCACCAAAGAGAAACCTGTGTGTTTTGTAGGATTGTGGAAAAGTGCATCATGCGGTGTTTAAAATAATCAACGTGACACGTATGTTTATATACTATTTTTTTGATAAGTGTGACTCGTATGTTTATATACCGTGTTTAGTAGAAGCAATAGATATTCTTATTAACATTAAAGAATGCTTTATTCTTAAGCAGTTTAAAAACTACAGAAGAGGGAAAAAGAGTAGAACAAATATTTCAAGAAGAAATTGTCAGAGTAAAAAAGTACCTTTGGCCACTGCCCTCTCACTTGTATGCATATGAAGACCCTCCTCTTTTATTAAGAATACTTTGGAAGATAGCCCCTAATTCAAAACACAAACCTTTGAAAAAAAAAAAACAGAAGTGTGGGTTATCTTATAATAATATAGCCTTCAACAAATTGATCACGACCACGACCACGACCACATTGATCCAATATTTGTCATGTGTGTTTGCAAATATATGAAAATATAGATGTTTCTGCTTTCAAATCTGGATAAGGAAAAAAAAAAAAAAAAAAAAAACGTTTTACTCAAATCCCTGTAATTCGGTGATTATCTGCTGTTGAAGGCACCAGCCCATCTCCATCACCACAAAAAAGTGTGGAAGTTAGTTGCTACAACAGTGTATGCATCCATTCATACAACATTTTCATCTACCAAACAACATTTTCTCTGGTCATTATGAGCAGCAGTGCCCAAATTTTCATTTAACCAAATGAATGCAACTTGTCTTAATAATAGCTAGGACCATATATTTGTGCAACTCAAGGGGCATCAATCAAAGACTTGGGTGACAATAGAAATGCAGAGAAAACCAGTACCAGTGAGTGACCTCCCTCAACATATTTGCCAAAGCTCGTCATAACTTTTATAAATAATTAACACAGCACTGTAAGTCAAAGGTGTAGAACAAGGACCACCCATAAATGAACAAGAAGCAAATTATTGATTTTCGTCCCATATGTTCATTACAGATACATTTGAACAAAACTAGACTCACCCACAGGCATGCTTTAGTTAATCCCTCAACAATGTGCAAGATAAAAGTGAGACCAAGCAGTCATGCTGTGAGATTAGAACTCAAAACTACCAGCCGATTTACACAGGAAAACCACTGAGTTGTGCTTAACCAAAATCGTCTTCAAACTACAAATTTAGGTTCTTCCATTGCATGATCTTCAACGACTGTATCAAACTTCAAGCTTCTTGCAACATTAAAGAAGTGAGCAACGGCTTCCTCTGGTGTCCCAACAAGAACACCATGGCCCAGGTTGAGAATGTGACCCCTTTGCCCAGCACACTTCACAACTCTGCCAAATGAATTCAAAGACTTCAATCAGTTGGAATTGAAATTTGGGCATTCAAAGTTGAAATTTGCTCTAAGCATTCAACCATTGCAGACTCTACAAAAGTGCATACTATATATATATATCACACACATTGAAAAAAAGTGTCAAGCAACTGACTGACTCTTTGCTTGCTGGATAAGGATTTCAATTCAGGACAGCTTGCCAAAATTACAGTTTATATCCAAGTTTTAACTGCTATTGAACAATTGAGAAAGTCCAAGCAATGAAATTAGTACTAAATGACTCCAAAGGCACAGTACCCCACAAATCTAATAGTTCAACCTAAGTCAGCTGATTTAGACAATAACTTGCAGGATAAGTTCAGTAACAGATATTAGTTTGTATCACAAACCTTTGAATTTCATCAGTCAGGGCAGGAAGAGGAGAAAATAAATAACATGGGTCCACATTTCCCTGTATGCTGATTCCATTTCCTAATCGCTTCCTTCCATCTGCCATATCCACTGTCCAATCCAGCCCAATCACATCGACTCCAGTGTCTTTCATCCGCTCGAGAAGACCACCATTTCCATTGATGTAGAGTACCAGTGGTGTTTCAGGGCACTTTTTCCTTACTACGCTCACAATCTGCAAGTTCAATAAATGTAATGAGTGACCAAAAGGGAAAGAGAATAATTTGTGATTATTAAAAACATAACAAACCACACACTATGTCAGTTTTTCAAAGAAAAGATAATAGTATTCAGAAGGTAGTAATTGTAGTTTGTGCTCAACAAGTTGCTATCCTTGAGAAAGAAAAATATTTATTTAGTCTATCAAATTTCTAAAGCTTGAGAAGTAGTAATTACTGCTGCATTTCCTTATTAAACTAATAAAACACACAACAAAAACTTAAAAGCTGTAACGGTGCTAATCATGGCCAATATATATATACGTATGTGTATATATATAGATAGAGAGAGAGTGTAAGCATGCTTTCCTGAAGTCAATCAACACGCAAAGTGCTTAACATTTTCAACTAGATGAAGGACAAAATTAAACAGAAAGACAGCAAGAAACAGATCAGTCAAGCATACATCATTAATAGGGGAGGAAAAGGAAAGGGTTAAATTTTGCTCAGCTAACAAAAACAACTACTACTCACCTCTTTAATATAAGGCTTTGACCAGTGCTCCCACACATCAGGTGGTAGCTGTCCGCCCCATGAATCGAATATTTGTATACAATGAGCCCCTGACTCCACTTGGAAAACAATGTAGTCAGATATTGCCTTTGCCAAATGAGAAAGAAGAGCCCTCAGTACATGTGGTGCTGTATGGCACATGCTCTTTATGGTTGTATACGTGCGAGTTGTACCCCCTTCTACTATATACGTAGCAATTGTCCAAGGTGCTCCCACAAAACCAAGAACTGCAGCTCGCTCCCCAACCTAAATCAGAAGAATAACCTACATTAGCTGGTCAATAAAAAATAATACCATTCTACACTACAAAAACAAAGATAATCAATATCTGTTACTGCTAATCACCCATCTGAAGGAAATAAAATACCTCTCGGCGCAAAATCTGAAGGGACTCTCCCACGAAACTAAGTTTCTCCAAGTCAATGGGATGCAGTGCTTTCAAGCCCTCTTCAGAACGAAGTGGAGACTGAATGACAGGGCCCCTCACCTCTTCTATGTCAAATGGGACACCAAATGCAGGTAGAGGAGTAAGTATGTCAGAGAAAATAATAACCCCGTCAGGATGGAAAGCTTCCCAAGGCTGCAAAGAAATTTCCACAATGAGATCAGTTGTTTCTGACCTCTGTCTGAAGGATGGGTGTTTCTCTGCAAGCTTTCTGTAAACAGCCATATACCTTCCTGCCTGACGCATCATCCATGCTGGGGGACGACTTACAGGATATCCTCTGGCAGCCTTCACCAAGAGAGGATCTGAAAAACATATCATATAGTATAAAATAAAAGAATAAAAATGAGGCCCAGTATCAGTATCTCCATAATCCAATCCAACGCAACACAAGAAAATACCATACTGAAGATAAAATCCCACCGAATTCTCCACAAATAGATAAAAAGAAAAGGGGAAAAGATTTTTTTTTTTAATTTTTAATTTTTGTTTTTTTAAAAAAGAGGCTACTTAGTAATGCATATGCGTTGCCACAATGGCTGTCTTGAACTACAGTGAGGTCTACAGGAGTAAGGTCCATAATCACTGAACCAATATGTTGTCAAGGGTCTCACAACTAGGACCAATCATCATTTTGGGACGGGCACTGAGCTCTGTATAGCATAAGGGGATGAAAGGTACAATATAACAAATACTCTATTTTGATTGGCATACAGCACTAAAAGAATAATTAGACCACATAAACTAAACACAACTCAAACTGACTCTTTTAAGAATACTACACTGATAAAAGCAATCGCAAGCTTCAAAAAGTAAAATGAAGTTGGGATTCTCCCATATATCTCTTGATCTTCACACTGCCATCTTCTCTTTCCCACGGCCAACAAGGGTTTTATCCTGACCTGATCTTTTGAGACCTCTGTTTCTTATGTTTCACCTCCATCTCCAAAACCCTATTCAGGCATCTACATGCCAAGATGGAGTAGTTCATACCCTTGTCCAAAAGAAGACTCCTAGACCAAAATATGCCGCTTGACTTCACTTAGTCTCTGGATGCACATCGGGAAGTTGATGCTCTCTCATAAGTAAATCATTTGACTTTTTAACCACAAAAACTAAGGAAAGCATGCATGAACTTCAAAAAGAAAGAGCATGCGAATAAAAGTCAACAAATCACAAGGTTCTATTTGGACTTTCACGATAAGAAGTATTGAAAGTGAAGATGAAAAATGCCAAATACCTCTGATATAGGGAGGGGGTCATCATGTTGCACCTTCAAACATCACCACGAAATGTGACAGTGATTTACATCCGCCAATAGAAAAATGCTGCATCAGCATTGGCATATGACAAAATAAGACCCCCTACTGGTTGATGTCAGGGCATCAAAGAGTCAACTTACACAAATTATCTCCCATTTGTTAGACACGCAAGCTCTCAATCTAGGAGTTTCATTTGCATAGGGAGCAAAATATGGGTAATGGACCTAACCTCTCTTGCCCCCATGCGTTGGCATTGTATCTCCAACATACACTCTTCACCAATCAATGAGATCCACAAGAACATGCATGCGACACATGGTCAAACAGAGGAGTGAAATGTGGACTTTCGCCATCCTTGCACACTTCCTTAAGGTGTGCCATATCCATTCCTTGAGTGGTCAACAAATCTAGTGCCTTCAACTCGGAGCTCAACTTGTGGGGACAAAAGTGGGGTTCTCTTACAATTGGAGTTCACTTTAGGCGAAGAGTATCTCATGACCATAAAGTGTTCTTCAAATCACGGTTGGTTTAACTTGTTTTCCATCTTGCTCTACACCATCTTGATCCCCCACCTAAGCCGCCTCTAGATGCATGCACTCTGATGCAAGTAGGGATCAGATAGGTCTTCAATCTCAGTGCCAGTCAACTAGGAAAAAAAAAAATCTCAGTGCTAGTCGTCATGTGGCCTTTGCAATTCATCATGCTCTTCAATCAGATACTAGGATTTTTATTTTATTTTATTTTATTTTATTTTTATTCCAACAACAAATATCAAAAACTCACAAAGTATATTACCAGCCACTATCTACATCTCTGTTACATGGACTCTTCAAAAGTAGTGAAGTACCCGTGTCAGACACGTATCCCTCGGACATAAGTATGGAATATGTGTCTGACACTTTTGGTTGGACATGTACTTAAAAAGCATATCCAATCATTCCATTACATTATATTATTACTTTAAAATGAGTTAAATGCCTATATTGAACATTATATTAGATAAAAACATTACTTTACTCTAGAAAATAAAATAAAATAATTAATAAAATGAATATTTAGCCGCGTCCTTATGACCTTCTATTTGGAGATTTGACACGTCCGACGCATGGATACATACCTGTGTCCGACACCCGTGCCCGAGTTCATGTAACATAGATCTACATCTTGGCCAGTCAGCGAAAAGAGAGAGATGCCATTTCTTCTCTAGGATAAAATTTGTCACGTTGCGGTCAGCAAACTGCTTCTCATCTGCATAAACTCTCTCCTTTGCTTTCTAGCATCTCCACTTGATTAAGTGCCCCAGCAAGTGCGGCAACTGTTCTCCACACTACAAATAAAGGGACTGCCCTACCTCTTTTAACAACTTAAAAGAAAGAGAGAGAGGGAGAGTAGCAGGATTCTCCTCTCATACACAAACACCTGCTTAGGTTTACCCCAACATAATCTCCTAAAACTCCATTATTCTACATTTAATAGCTCCGTCTCAAAAACCCAATTCAAACAAATACAATAATTCTTCACAATTGGCTTAATTAAAGATTTATTACAAATGAGGCCATTGGGAACATTCAAGAAGTGTCCCATGGTACAACTAGACCAGTATTATTTCTTCCAAGTTACAAATATAGAGAAATGGTTGAGAAATTAAACCATTTGAGATAAGCCGTACTAAGACAACATACAAAACACAATGTGGTAAAATAGGAGTAGAAATACGACCATCATTTAAATGATGGCTTTGCGATTCCACGAAAGAACCAATAACTGTTTCTCGACACCTTTGAAATAGCTAGAAATACAAGCTTCTATGGAGTATGAAAATGGGCATAACTAATCAAGTTATCATTAAGAATTTTTACAAATTTAAGCAAATAAAAATGAAAGGACGATTTATTTTTTTTGGTTAAGAAAAATTGAACAGTGTGAGCTGAGGGAGAATTGAAAAGCAATGAAAAATTTGCAGAGTACCACATTACTGGATTAGTATACACACACACATATATATGTGTTTGTTTATAACAAGCATTTAATAACAAAAAACACTCATTTAGAGAGAAACAATACCGGAAGAAGATGATGCTGAAGATGAAGCGCAAGCTCGAGGGGATTTATTGTAGCTGAATTTCCGCTTATGGGGAACCAAAAATTCATTATGACCGTTAGAAAGAAGCCCTAACTGAACGGACAAGCTCGAGGATTTCCAGCCGACGGTGCAACAACCGCCACTGCAAAACACGGAATTGCAATGTCAGAATTAGGGTTTTAATCAGAGTATAAGTTCTAGAGAGAGAAAATGAGAGGGAAGTACAGACCTGGTTAAGGAAGGAAAACTCATTATATGAAGAAATTCTCGAGGGAGAGTGTGTGTCTGTTATGGAATTTGATTCCCTCATCTCTCCCATTTCCTTTCTCTCTCCTTATCTCTCTCTTCTCTTCTGTCAAGTGTCAACTCCCTCCGGGTCAGTGGCCATAATGGGTCGGGATCCACTGGGTCGGGCTCCACTCCAAGCGATCCAGAAATAACTGGATATTATTAGAAATAGAATACATATTAATAATATATTAGTAATGACTAATGAAGCTTTTAATCTTCCACCACAAAAATGATAAAATTGGTAGCATTATTATACACTACAAAAAAAAAAAACAAAAAAAAGTCAGTGTGATCTGGCAAAGTGAACATTATTTTTATTTAAAAAACCCTTTTTATTCTTCTTTTTGTATTATATGATTTATATATAAATAGTTTACTTTTGTATGTTTAGTGAGAGTAACATTCATCTTTTTGTATTTTTTATTTATTTATTTTTTTTTTGGTATTTATGTTTTCATCCAAAAAAAAATAATAAAAGAGAAAAGAAGAAGGATGAATGAGATATAGCCAGATAAAGAGATTATATATTTCTTCTCTAAAAATCACCATGATACACAAAATATGAAAACTCAATTTTTATCAAGAAAATTTTTCCTTCACCAATAATTAAAAAAAAAAAATGAAAATATTTAATTAATGAATGATATTATGTCAATCACTTTGTCCTTTTGTCATTTGACGACCCGGACCAACTGAATAATGATCTTCTTCTTATGTCAGTCATGGCATAAATGAGAAACATCAATTGTGCGTAGCATAGTACTGGCATTAGAGATTGAATTCACCCATTCTTCCGGTGCTCCCATAAATTGGCAACTTGGATTATTCTGCATTCATTGCTTGTTAATTTTCTCAAACCAACCAATTGATATCATTCATTCATACCAGTTAGGCAATTAAGAACAGAAAATAGAATTTTTTACCCAGACAAATAATAATAATAATTAGAAAATTCCACTGCCACAATGAACCAATCAAACTAGTTTACACTAGAATATTTAACTTGACCATTTTTTTAAAATTTCAAATTCACGCCGCTGATTCAATGCTCACAAACATAACTTTAAATTTCCCTTTTTACGACATTAGTATTTGTTATGCATTAACACCATCTTGGACAAATCATCCTTTTTTGCCCATCCATACTCTCACAGTATACATATTTCCCTCATGGTTTATTTTAAGCTTGGCATTCTAGTTTTCTTCTTCTCTCCCTTTCTTGACAAAATTAATAAAGGCAGTCCAAAGCAACCAGAGAAAGTAGCAATTAAATTTGCAGAAGATGTTCTCAGATTCTATTTTGGTCGGTATATTCTCATATTTTATAGTTCATGCACCAGTTTTCCTGTTCAAACAAAAACATATGCACTCAATTATATATGTTAGACCAAATATTAAAGTTGAGTTTGAGAAAAAATCAAATTCAGAACTGTGCCAAGATTGGAAATCAAATCAATTCCTTGATATATAGGTTAGTCTGTCTGAAATTTGCAGATTTTGGTTCACTACATCAATTATGTTAGAAGATCGAACAAACCCAAGTTTCAGACATAAAAGTAGCAGACCATTTGAAAGCAGAAACAGTAATGTGTGTGTGAAGCTGTACTCACTCTAGAATCGGATAAAAACTTTCCATTGGTAGTGAAAAAACTCATTTGAAATGGGACAACAAGCTAGGTTCTATTGTTGAGACAAACTCAACCAGGTTTAAGAGTATCACCATCACTTTAGCCATCACATTGACATAATTACTGCTATTGGTTAACCGCTTGAAGTTTGGCACACACCTGCAGCATGCTCTGCTCAATTCTTGTATTTCATGTGGCAACGACCTTTGGTACAGAAGACGAATTCGTTGCAGTGTCAAGAGTTGTTGACTAACTGAGTCCTCGACCATGCATCTACTTTAGGATGCAGAGAGCTTTGCTCAGCCTCACACACACAAACACACAGGTGATCACAAAAGTTATGCTTTGTGGGGGCTTAATCAAAGATCAGTTGTTCTGATCATAAACCAGAGAATGTAAGCTAATCACAGAAGTTATTCTTTATGAAAATTAGGGTTCAAAGATCAGTGGCTTTTATCATAACCATTATTCATCAAATTGGGTAAAGGGAATTAACATTAAACTAGGTATCCGTATATTCAATACCCATCACTATTAACTTGGATCCTAGGATCTTGATCCAACTACATTGTATCTTAAGGTAAACATTCACTATGTACAGCAGGTATGCTAGAAAGATGGAACTCGCATATGTCTGAAACAAGTAGAGACTTAGAAAAGAGTTGTTCTTCAAGGACCCAAAAATGAGCAGATACAAATTTCCATTTAATAAAGCAGTCAAAGTAATTATAGAGGTAACACCAGAAACAATTGGGGAGCTGAAGGTTGCAACATACAATCAATAAGCAATAAGAAATTAAATGGGAAGAATAAATAACTGAAACAGAACACTGCAACTTCAGCAGATCAAAAACTAGCAAGCGCAAACTTCAATAGATGGAGAAATTCTAATGAAAGATACTTCAATGTAAAAAAATATGACAGCAGCTGTTTCCACAGATTCAAAACCAATTTTCCAAGAGTTGTTTAAGCCAAAATATTTATATTAAAACTTCAATATACTGAGATGATAATATTGTTGACCATCTCCAATTGAAACACAAAACCCAAGCTTGACTGAAACACAAATTAATAGAAAAATTCAATAACATCACGAAACAAATTCCTGAAACTTTATTAGGCGTTTCAAAATGCAGAAATTCTACACACATCCGATGGGAGAGCTGCTTTTTATGAAGCAAGTGAAGAATCAGCTGAACTGAATGGTTTAATACCATTACTTATTGTTACGATAATTATGTGCTAGAAATGCTCTCCGAGCAGAAAAAGGCCAGAATTTGGCAAGCCCAAATTTAAAATGAGGCTGTTCTCTTTTGCTGCAAGTGTTGCCCTCTTTATCATAAAGAATAGTGTAGTTCGAGCTGCTCACATTCCTAAAATAGCAGAATTTACTGTCACCATATTGGTATGCTTGTTGGGTGCTCCCCAGTCCACTTACTACCAAGTTGTTTTTCACAATCATCTTGCCCTGTCCATTCTGCAAATTTTTAAGAGAACTGGACGAGAATACCAAACCACCAGCTTTGACCCTCTCCTCATTGTAACTCATTGTTATATTTGAAATTGAAGCATAAGTTCCATCTTCTTGTTCCACATAGTCAGAGTACAGGTAAAAAGGGAACCTTTTAAATGATTTCATCGAGTGAATAGAAGAATCCGGCATTTCAGCAGAAACACTATCATTGAAATCAATTGTCTGATTCAAGATCTGCAAATTTCCGTCATTTCCCATTACCATAAAGTTACTGTAATTGAATTTTTGACTCGAATTGGCTTTGATCGTCCCATAAGAGGACTTCACCCATCCACTCGATGAGATGGATCTCCTAACACTCGTCAAAAATGTTCCATTCAGACCTGTAAAATTTGATACCAAAGAAACAAGACTAGGCGGGGTGTTGTAGCTCAAAAGCTTTCCTTCAGTTTTTTCACTCTTCTTGTCCAACCAAATATGCAAATTTGCATCTATGTACCACACATTCAAGGCATTTGTGACACTAAATGCGAGGTCATGAGTCTTTCCATCTAATATCTTCCCTAAAAATGGAGTGATTTCAATATCATAAGTAGGAAGATCAAATGACCCAATTCCAGTAATTGGTCTCCACAGGAGGGGATTGACTCCTCCAGTATATATTACTGTAAAAGGCCAAACTGCACCAACAACCACATCATCCAGACTGACCACAACCTCCCTAAAAGGTCCATTGCCGGCCACACCAGTAAGATTATTGGCGGCAATGTACTCATTCGGAAGATTTCCATACCAAAATTCATCATTCTCATGAAATGAAACATAAACCTCCAACACAGCCCTATATGCATTTTGGGGAATTTTAAACTCCTTGGACTTAACATCAGTGGAATTCTCAATTTCAAACCACAACCCATCATTCAATGGTAAATTTCTCGAAAAAGGTAAGATCAAATCAGCCCCAGAACCATACCCATTTACCAAATCATCCGAATTTGGTTTATAAGAATTGTAATGCATGTCAGGAGGATAAAAGTGTATTGTTATGTTCACATGGTACACACCAGTGTAAGTACTATCAACAAGGTTACCAAGATACACAGCAAGTGTTTGATGGGTCATGAGCAGTGAATAATACCTCGTAATGTCCTTCTTGACAGTCCAAACAATCCCGGTGGCTCGTGGCTCCGCCGTGCAGCTCCGGAGAAGCTCAACGCCGCCGAGCCAAACGCCGAAAATGCGATCAAATTGCCTACCTTTGCAAATTGCCTTCCATTCAAGAACAATTTTGGCAAAATTTTGAGATGGGCAATTCGAAGGGGGTGTGTAATTGGCAAGAACAGGCGGTTTCCCATATGTGTAGGCAAAATCATGTTCGAGGATGTGGTACGAGCAGGGTTTGGTTCTGGGAAGTTTGATGGGTTTGGTGACCTCAAAGAATGTGGTCAATGGGACATCTTTTGAGGCTGTGGGCTCAGATACGAGCTCTGATCTGAAGAGGTTTGTTTTGTGGATGTTTGCAGTGGCAGAGAAAGGTTGGAGGAGGAAGAGAGAGAAGAGGAGTGGCGAGAGGAGAGAGAGAGCCATGAACGGTAGTTGTGTTGGTGCTGTCGCTTTGTGAATACCATACTGCTTTGGAAGCTTTGAGGAGGTAAAACAAATTTTATTTTTTATTATTATTTTTTTTTTGGTAATTTTGAGGTGTAAAACAATGCTGAATTGGATTGGATTTAGTTTATTTAATTCGAGTGACAACTGGGTTTTTTTGTCCAACCCAACACAGAAATTAAATAATTTAAATGTGATGTCATAATTAAAGGCTAAAATTAATTTTTTAAATGTGCAAGTATTAAATTTATTACTTCACATTGTGTTTGATGAATCTTCAAATTTGGTGTCCTGAATCAGATATTTGTGTGTGTGAAAGAAAAATAAAAAAAGGACGAGTGTTTTTATTAGTTGTAGTATTTTTATTTATTATTTGACAGGCTATTAGTGTTAGTATCCAACTATCCACTTTGGTGGTTTCTATCAGTTGGAGGTGCTCAGAGTACTATAGATTGTTATTTGATCACACAATTTAGTATTTTGATTAAATTAAGTAATTTTAAATTAAATGTGTTTGATAATTAATCCTTATATAATTCATTATCAAAAGTCAAATTACAATCAAATTACAATTTAACTCTTAACATATTTGCATAAATTGATAATTTTACACTCAAATTAATTTCATAAAACATGATTTAAGGTATTACAATATTTCATTTCATTGGATTGTAACGTAACACTAACTCAATGTAACTCAATGTAAATATTTATGTAACAAGTTTAATTGCAGGAATTAACACATTTACAGATTTCTGCTCCATACATGAGAAATTGAAACTAACTCAAATTGAAATTTCCTAGATTACTTTTATAAGAAGCACACCATTTAAAAGCAGAGCAAACAGAAACCCAGAAATGTGTGCGTGTGTGAAAAGTTGTACTCATTCCAATACAAGATAGGTAGTAGGAACTCATTTGACATGGGACATCAAGCCTGGTTCTATTGCCAAGACACACTCAACCAGGTTTGACAGCAGCACTCTCACTTTGGCCATTTCATTAAAAACCATAGCTTCAGATAATTACAGCTTTTGGTTAACCAAAACACGGTGGCTTCAGCAGATCCAAAAAACTACTTTTGGTACCATAAACTTCGAAATTCTAATGGCATATATCTCAATGTAAATAACAGTGACAGCAGCTATTTTCACTGTTTTGAAACTAATTTTCCAAGAGTTGTTTCAGCCAGAATGTTTGTACTGAAATTTCAATGTACTGAGAAATGTGCGTGGAGATGAAAACATTGTTGACCATCTCCAATTGAAAGACACAACCCAAGCTTCACAGAAACACGAATACTTAGAAAAATTCAGTAACATCATGAAACTAATTCCCGAAACTTCACTAGGCGTTCCAAAATACAGAAATTTTACGAAACATCTATTAGGAGAACTGCATTTTATGAAGCAAGTGAAGAATCAACCGAATTGAATGGTTTAAAGCCATTTCATGTTGTTATGGTAATTATGTGCTAGAAATACCCTCCGAGTGCCCAAATCTGGAAGGAGAGTGTACTCTTTTGCTGCAAGTGTTGCCCTCTTTATCATAAAGAATGGTGTAGTTCGAGGTGTTCACATTCCTAAAATAGCAGAATTTACTGTCATCGTATTGGTATGCTTGTTGTAAGCTCCCCTGTCCAGTTACTACCAAGCTGCCATTGATAACCATATTGCCCTGCCCATTCTGCAAATTATTAAGAGAACTGACAGAGAATCCAAAACCACCAGCCTTAACCCTCTCCTCATTGTAACTCATTGTTATGTTTGTAATTAAAGCATAAGTTCCATCTTCTTGATCCGCGTAGTCAGAGTACAGGTAAAGAGGAAACCTTTTGAATGATTCTATCGAGTGAATAGATGAATCCGTCATCTCTGCAGAAATGCTGTCATTGACATCAATTATCTGATTCAAGATCTGCAAATTCATGTTATTCCCCATTACAATGAAGTTACTGTAATTGAAGTTTTGACTCGCATTGGCTGTGATATTCCCATAAGAGGACTTCACCCATCCACTGGATGAGATGGATCTTCTCACACTCGTCGAAAATGTTCCATTCAGACCTGTAAAACTGGTTACCAAAGAAACATGAGCAGGCGCGGCATTGTGTCTCAAAAGCTTTCCTTCAGTTTTTTCACTCTTCTTGTCCAACCAAATATGCAAATTTGCATCAATGTACCACACTTTCAAGGCATTCGTGACACTAAATGTGAACCCATGGGTCTTTCCATCTAATATCTTCCCTAAAAATGGAGTGATTTCAATATCATAAGTAGGGAGATCAAATGAACCAATTGCGCTAACTGGCCTCCACAGGAGGGGATTGACTCCTCCAGTATATATTACTATAAAAGGCCAAACTGCACCAACAACCATATCATCCAAACTGACCACAACCTCCCTAAAAGGTCCATTCCCGTAAGAATATAAAGGTCCAATCCCGGCAGTATGAGAAAGATTGTTCGCGGCAATGTATTCATTCGGGAAATCTGCATACCAAGATTCATCTTCAGAATGAAATGAAACATAAACCTCCAACACAGCCCTATATGCATTTTGGGGAATTTTAAACTCCTTGGATTTTCCATCAGTGGAATTCTCAATTTCAAACCACAATCCATCATTCAATGGTATATTTCTCGAAATGGGTAAGAACAAATCAGCCCCAGAACCATACCCATCACCCAAATCATTCGAATTTGGCTTATGAGAATTGTGATGCATTTCAGGAGGATAAAAGTGAATTGTTATGTTCACATGGTACACACCAGTGTAAGTAGTATCAACAATGTTACCCATATAGACAGCAAGTGTTTGATTGGTCATGAGTAGTGAATGATACTTGGTAATGTCCTTCTTGACAGTCCAAACAGTCCCGGTGTGTCGTGGCTCCGCCGTGCAGCTCCGGAGAAGCTCAACGCCGCCAAGCCAAACGCCAAAAATGCGATCAAATTGCCTTCCTTTGACAGTGGCGTTCCATTCAAGAACAATTTTGGCAAAATTTTGAGACGGGCAATTCGAAAGGGGTGCGTAATTGGCAAGAACAGGCGGTTGCTGATATGTATTGGCAAAGTCATGTTGGAGGATGTTGTATGAGCACGGTTTGGTTTTGGGAAGTTGGATGGGCTTAGTGACCTCAAAGTATTTGGTCAATGGGACATCATTTGAGGGTGTGGGCTCGGAGATGAGCTTTGATCTGAGGAGGGTTGTTTTGTGGATGTTTGCGGTGGCAAAGAAAGGTTGGTGGAAGAGGAGAAGAGAGAAGAGGAGTAGAGAGAGGAGAGAGAAAGCCATGAACGGTAGTACTGTTGCGTTGAGAATGCCCGATTTTTTTTTAATATCCTATTTAGTATAAGCGGTGTAAAAAAAATAAAATAAAATAAAATAAAAATAAAATAAAAGAACCACCTCTGTTTTCGTTAATAATAGAGCATCACAATTTACCATTGATCGGTACTACATTATCGGAGTATTTGCGTTTTGTTTTTTTGGATACTCGGACACCCAATACACTACCTGTTCGAGAAAAGAATGGTGCTTTGGAGTTTGAGGTGTAAAACAATGGTGAATTGTAATTTTACTTAATTTAATCGAGTGACAACTGGTTTGTTTGTCAGCAGGTCTCCAGCACAGAAATTAAATAGTAATTGAAATGTGATGTTCCTATTAAATTAGCTTGGAGTATAATTTTAGCATTTTAGAGAACTTAATATTTTTAATGTCTTAATATTTTTAATGTTAAGTATTAAATTTATTACTTCACACAAAATCTTCAAAATTTGGTAAATGAATCAGATATTTGTGTGTTTAAAAGGAAAGGGGAAAAAGCAGAGTGTTTGCGTTTAGTGTTTGCGTTTGTGGTTTTTATCAAGTAATCAATTTAACGTAATCGATGTGGTGTTGTATTCTCATTAAATCCAGTATATTGTTCAAATTATGTATATGTATCTAGAGATAACTTTTTTCAATTTAGGCTGTTCACAAATTTTGTCTAAAGTTAGGAGTCTCCATTGAAATCAATCTTAATTAGACCACACAGGTATCTACCTTGTTGAACTATTGATCTATAGGCTATATATCTATGATTCTATATGTAGCTTTCTGTATTATGTATAAGTTATAACGGCAACTAGTGTTCAAGCTTTTGCTTGAAGCTCACTACCTCTCAAGAAAACTTATTTCCTAATGCAGAACCCCACACTGATGATACATGTCACAGGACAAAAGATTTTTGCAATTAATTTTACAATATTATAGCTGGAAAATCGTTACTATAAACTCACACAGGTTGATCACTGCCTTCATTAGGTGAATCTTGACTGCAATCTGGACATAAAAGTGTAAATTTTTAATGCTCCGGATATATTTATAGCTGTGTCACGTACCCTTTTTAAGGCATGCCTTTCTATAATAACAAATGCAGAAGATTGTATCATACAAAAACTTGAAAAGACATATATTGATGATGACACAAGTTATTTGAACTTCGAAATTCAGATCAATTTCATGTTTTCCAAATGGAAACCAAGAATTAGATATATGATGGTTCAAAGAGAGAATATAGATCAATTAAGAGATCGGTTTAGCACTGATAGTTGACCAGAGTCACCATTCAGCAAGAAAATTTCCAATGGTACATACGATGAAGACGACTCCAGTGATGAACCGAATTTGTAAGGGGGTTGCAGTATTTTGCTACCTTTGGCGCATGGAATAGTGAGAAGGCGAGGTCCAGTCCTCATCTGCCAAACCTGCATAACTCAAGCTGCTAAGGGAACGTCGTTTTATACTATTTTCAGAAAATGCAATTGCATGTTTTTTTTGCCAATAGTTATGATCAACCTTTCATAGTTTCTTATACATATGGAAGTTATTAAAGCAATTGCATGTTATTCACACCCATATAGGCATCAACCAAAGGGTGGACTGCATAATTATCCGGAAAAGCAAGGACAAATAAGAAAGCAACATTAAATTGCCAGTGTCTTTGATATCAATAATAACAAAGGAAATGTCACTGCCACAGTTGTTTATTTGCTTTCCTAGTTCATCCCTGGGTTATTGAAAATTAAACTGGGAGATCAAAAGAGAACATTAAATTTAAGAAATGCAAGAATGAAATACCTCAATTATCCCTTTCCGAGGTGCATGAATGGCTAGACATAGGCAATAATCACTCTTCACATTTTCATAATAAGCAGAAGTTGATTCTTTATTATCTCTATTGACAAGCATCTCCATGAATAAGCAGCTAGCATCGCGATATCCCTGCAGAGATGTGTAGTTCAGCTTTAGGAAATAACCAATTGCATGGAAAGACATTCAATTACTCGAGTAGTCAGAAAAAAACCTTCCATAACCGCACCACCACACGTGCCTGAGTGTCTAAAAGCAAGATTCGACCAAGTGAATCTGTTATTGCAGCCAAAGTACCACTAGGTGATAAAGTAAGCTTCTCACCCTTTCTTGGATGATCCTTTAAACATGTCAGAGGAGAAGCTGCCGCGAAACATTAATCATAATAACAATAGGTAAGACTTATCATCCATCCCAAAAATACTATCAGTTTTACTAACAGCTGAAACACACAAATTTATGAGTTTAAAAAACCATAAACTCAGCATTTCAACATATAAAACACCATAGAACATCCGTAATGAAATGATGTACATCATGCAAACTTGACTGGACAAAATAATTTTGGAAACACACCAAAGGTGCTGCAGAATGCTCCTATATTTTTACATCTTCTGTTTATCCAATCCAATTGGCACTCTTATGAATTGAATTTTTACCAAAAAAATTGTATTTATTTGTCTACCAAATTGTTGTTATATACACCAGCAGAGAGGGAAATTAAAAGCAGAAGGCCAGGACTTCTAGAAGCCGCAATGGTACTTTAAAGTATCCAACATATAACTTTTCATGCTTAGTAACTTGGAAGACACTAGAATATCAAAAGGAAAGAAGAAAAAATATTTTGAATATTTACACATAACAAACCCCCCCCCCCCCCCCCCCCCCCGCGGCCCCGCGGTTACAACATGATAATATATAATATCAAAAATAAAAAACAACGAACTTCACCTCGAGCAAATGGTTGAGGCTTTGCTTCTCGTTTCTTTGGGGATGTTTGTTCGCTACGCCATATCATTTTAGAGAACGATGCTATTGTTGAAATTGTTGCAGGCACAACTTTTGATAATATAGCTCCCACTAAAGACCGGTTTCTGTCCTCTGAAAGTCTATTGCAAAACCAAATAAAAGTCAAACTACCATTAGTAGCAAAAAAATGACAAAACGATCCCTTTAACAATGAAGACAAGAAAATTAAAATCATTATAGCATGAAGATAAGCAAAATAACTCATCATGATGAAAAAGATCAGTAGTTATATATATAACAAAATCCCACCACACTAACCTAAATGCTGAAATAACAGCATCATCTCCAACAGTGACTGCACAATAGTAACGTTGACTTGACTGCCCAACAATAAAATCAGCTGAATTCAAATACCAGAATAACTTCAGAAAATCTCCAGAAGTCATTGGATGAATCAATAGCAACTTTATTGGCTACAAACTATGTTAATTTATAAAAACAGTCCACAAATTTTGAAGTAATTTATAGCATGGCCCCTGATAAAGAAAAAAGAATTGTAACTTAATAAGGTTAAGCAATGTAAGTCTCCACCTGGAGTTCCATCAGTGGAGGGGGCATGACACCAGTGATTGCTGCATCAGCACATGCCCCATACTTGCTGACATTCCAGAGCTGATAAGGAAGCCTTCCAAAAAAATTTCCAGAATCCCCTGGATCTCTCTTCTTTGTTGTCTGATCCCAAAAATTTGTGTGTTTTTCTTGAAACCATCTCTGCAGCATACTCTGCATTCCAAGCATGGAAAATGTTAGAAGCAGAACTACCTATGATCCTTAATGTCTAGATCTTCAAAATTGAAAATATATGGAAAGATGACCAAGGAAATGTACTTAAAATAACAAAAACTGTAGCCTTGTTTCCAGGCCTTGATTTATCATTCTATTAACATGAAATGTTAAGATGATGAGTAAAACAAAATTCTCAAAATATATCATATACCTGAATGTCAGCTCCATCAAAGCGAGCAATTACACCAGGCATCACAATACAAACTTCCTCCGATGATGTTTCTTGTGTTATATCTCTCTTACTTCCACGAACTCTCAACTTAAGAATACGTCCAGTATTTACAATCTGTATGCACAGAAACTTGCTACTAAGCTCCATAACAATTGTCTGTTTACGCAAAAGAAAATAAGCTTCTTGCACAACTTTAAGTATGAAATCTCCCATAGTATTCTACTCTTAGAGTCACAGTTAAGTGTATCGAAAGGCAAGAAGAAAAAGAAGAGAGACATCATTCAGGTTAATGAAATAATATAAGCAATTATTCCATCATTTTACAAGCTCAGATGTGCAGGGGGAAAAAGAAAAATAAATAAAAAAACATATAAAGTGAACACATGATAATAAAATGAAGTACAGGGACCACCAATGAATCACTCATAAGGCCCATAAGAACATGCTGAACCGCACACGATTTAGACATGGTCAAATAAATCGACTGTTACAATTGTTTAAAAATCTTTGAAAGTGTTTTAGAACTTCCGTGTTCAAGACTATCAGATACCACTATATGTCTATTACCTCAGAATAGACTAAGCATAAGTATGGCATTATTAGCAAAATCATGTATTTGTCTTCCTTTCAACTTATGCCACATTGGCCAGAATCCAATTACGAAAAGGAAAATAAGATAGAGATACACACACACACACACACACACACACACACACACCCATCATGTGGATATGTTTGAACTCAACATCTATAAGTATTCTTTATGCCTTTAGGTTTAAGTTCTGAAATTTTACATGGACAGATTGTGTCACCAATTAAAGAGAGAACACGTACCAGATCTAAGTACTTCTATTGTTGCCTGCATTTGCTCAGCAATCAAACAGAAGACTAAAATAACCTCAAAACCAATCTAAGATTCAAATTATCAATTTTAATGTTCCTATGTTTTTTTCACCAACCAAATAAATGCATCATCTATGAATCAAGTTCAAATTCCTTTCCTTTTAAAGATATTTTCCCAAAAATCCAAGAGCACCAACAAAACCCACTACCTACACTGAAGAGGAAAAACAAGCTTTCTTTGTGTACTTAGATTTATGTTTCTGAAAATCAGCAGCAAGATCGCTTCTCACCAACAAATCAGAAACCCAGGCCCAATTTATGATTCAGAATTCTATTTCTTTTCCTGTTGTCACATTTTTCCTACCAAACTAACTGAACACACATAATGAATATTTCTTCCTCCTTTCAACATTTTTCCAAATAAATTCAGGAAGAATAAAGCACAATTTTACAAATAAACAAATTATAAATCTAAGAACATGAGTTCCAATTTCTTTTTCTTTTTTTTTCCAATTTGTTACACTATCCCATCAGAGCATGACAAAAGCCCAATAATTAACGCTAAAAATCTAGATTTTCAACTCCTTTTAATCATATACATATAAGTGTACGTATAGATACACATACACACATTTATGAATAATCAAAAAGGGCAATTTGATACCTGTTTGTGAATGAGATCGCCTCCAAGAGAGTAAATCAACAAATAACCACAAGAGGTCCCGAGCGCAAGAACTCGAATATCATCGAAGACCAACCACTCAATGGCAGAGATATACTCGGCCTCGATTGGGGACATGTTGGGCCGGATCTTGACCCGAGAAGTAGCAGGGTGAGGATTGTCGGACCTTTCGAGGACGAGGACCACATATCGGTTGGCTAGGACGAGAAAGTTGTCGTCGAGTGCGGTGAGAAGGTTAGGGTTTTCGACAAGCCAGCCTTCCTTGCCTGCGCCGACATCGCTGAGATCGTCGCAGGCTATGCAGCCCAGCTCCGTCGTGTGGGTTCGTCGAGCCATGGTAGGGTTCAGCCCATGAATGACTGATGCAGAAATGGAGGGGGCACAGAACACAGAGGAATAAAGGTAAATTTTTTATTTTTAAAAAATATATATATAAATTGAAGCAAATTTTATATAGATAAAAAAAGGTAAAGTAGACAAAGTGAAAGAGAAAAAGGGTAATCCGCAATAAAATTATATATATATATATATTTTGTGTCGGCAATGAAATATGGTTGCAATGATCTTTTGTTTTATTTATTTTTTCTCGGTAATAAAATATGAATGTACTTTTAATGGATGTACTTTTAATAATTGAATATATTTGTTTGTATTTTTCTTTGAAAATATTGTAAAAATAAAATAATTTATTTTTTATAATTGTAATTAGTTGTTTTCCTCGAAAAGAATTTTTAGTATTAATATTAAAAAATTTATTATGTTTTTTTAATCGTTCATCTAAGTATATCTTCCTAAATCAAAGTACTAATGTTATGTTTGGTACCATGGGTTTGAAGGGGGAGGATAACATTAGTTAGGAGGGAAAGGGAAAGGAAAGAAAAGGAAGGATAATTTTAACTCCTGTCGTGTTTGGTTGGTTAATGAAGGAAAAGAAAGGAAAGGATAATGATTATCTTTAGAAAAGAAAGAAAAGGGAAGTATCTTAGTAAATTTACTATTATACTCTTTTAATTTTTAAAAGAAAAATTTATAAATTTAAGTATGTAATATTTGTCAAAAAAAAAAAAAAAACCTTATAACAAAATGTATGTAAAATATATATGTATAATATTTTTAGGGCAAATCATTTTAGCCTGCCTGCCTCCATCTCTTTTCTCGTCCTCAACTCTGAACTTGTCCTCTCTCTTTCTCTCTCTCTCTTCAACTGCAAATACAAGAATTAGAAGTTCAAAACTCATACATTTCAGTTTATATATTTGCCTGCAAGAATCAAAACTACAAAACCCATATCAGCATCATTTTAGATTGTTCAAAAAATCAAAACCCAATTTCAGCCATATCGATCTTTCAGTTTCCATCGCCCTTCCAATTCGGGTTTGCCGTTCGCAAGCTTCAACCGGCCCTCTTTCTCTCAACTCTCAAGCTTGCCCCCCTCTTTTTCTCTCTCTCTCTGCAACTGCTAACTTGTACGTATGGGTTTTGTGTGTAATCAAGGGCATATTTGGCATAAGAATCACTCACCAAGCCTCTCCTTCCCTTTCCTTCCATTTCCACCCATTTTCGGGAGGTCAAGAAATCTACTGTAGAAACCTTGTGTTAACCATCCAAACCCTTTCCTCTCCTTTCCTTTCCTTCCACCAATTTTACCCAAACACAATTTTTTAATCACCCTCCATCACCTTCCCTTCCCTTTTCCACCATTTTCACTCTACCAAACTGAGCCTTAATGTTCTTCTTCTAAAATATATATTTTTGAAAAACTGAAATAATTGATAAAGGAAAACTGATTTTTTAACCATGTTTATTTCTTTACGTTTGTCTAAATTATATTTTTTAAATTTTTAAATTTTTTCAAAATATATATATATTATAACTAGTATTTTAAAAAAATATATATTACAATTAATTTATAGTTTTTTTAATTTTTATCACATAGTTCAAATCCGATTCCGAATCTTATATTTCTGGCTAGAGAACAGCATTCCTACAAACAAAGGTGGGACAAGGACAACAGATCGGCATCAGTGGTGTTTGCGTGGGACGCGCGGTTAATTAGCCAAATAATTGATTACTTATCATCCATGTTTAATGAACAACTAAAATTGGATCATCATCTTAATGGCTTTGAATTTGAGCATGTTTTGGTCCCACTGGGACTTTGGATTTTTGTGGCCGTGAAAGAGAAAAAAGAAACGAAGTGCAATAGACAGGTATTTATATTGTGGTCTTATGAAGAAGAAGATCGGAATTGTAACGTGAATTCCTTATAACATGTTGATCCAATTTTAGTTGTGTTATTACAGTACATGAATGAGAATTATTCAATTATCAGGCTCATGTGTGAACTGTATAGCCCCCACATGCATGATTTACATGAAGAACATCACTATCTATTGTGATGGAGTGATGCATATGGTCTTCTAGGCCTTGATTTGGTGTCATTAGTTGATGGACATTAGCCAACTTTTAAGACCATACCTGGAATTTTTTATTTAATTGTAAAAAAGGAAAAATATCTTAGATAAACGGGAGTAAAAGGAAAAAAGTGTTGGGTTTTAGAGATAGGGTAAACATGTGCTTTGATACCAATTAAGGAAAAAAGTATTGGAATTGGGTAGAATAGGTTCAAGAAAAAAAGATAAATCAGTCATTTCATCCATTTATTTGACTTTGTTAGTTAATAATATAGAGTCTGATTGAATTTTTACAAATGTGGAGAATATTCTTAAATTATTGAGAAACTTAAGTGTGGTAAATGAATTAAACACAATTATTATTTAATGGACTTCTTATTTGGATCTTACAATGATTATATCGGGCCTCATTTGTATATTTATTTATTTTTATTTTTTGTCTTGGCTTTGTATAGTGTGTTGAAGACCTTAAAATTATATCTATATATATATATACACACACACACAAACACACACTAATAAAAGAGACATGGGATGCACATGGTAAAAACTAAAAAGTTTATTTCTAATCATAATAAAAAAAAAAACTACAGAATAATTAAAAATAAAATAATTTCTTTTACGAAAAAAAAAAGAACAATTGTAATGTGATTTTAGAAGAAAAGAGAAATCAAATGAATAGAAAATAAGAGTTAAAAGATTAGACATAAAAAATATATATATATAAAAACAAATGAGTAATTGCATGTGTGATTTACCGACTAAAAATAATAATAAAATATTAACGGGTCAGTGACCTAACCATATCAGTCCCTAACTTTCTAAAGGAATGTCAGGTTCAAGTTTAAGAAGAGATAAATGTGTGTGTCTACCAATTAGGAAAAAAAAATTATAAAATAAATCTAGATTTTTATTTAGTTATTTATTTATTCATTATTTTCAAACAAAAATTGTAGAGGAAAATGAAGTTTTGTATGACAGATGAGCAGTGAGGAATGAGTACCAAAAACAAGCCAATGAGAATAAAAAGGGATTATATGACATAAGTGAATCAACCTAAAAGTCTAATGACATAATGACTATACAAATAGTAGCCGCCTTGGCCATAAATTATTGTGGGATTTATAATTAGTTAAGTGTGACTAACATCAAATTTATTTATATTATTTTTCTGTCTATCTAGATTTAATGGGGGAATTGTAACATTTTTCTTTGTCAAAATTTACAATTTCGCGGGATGGAGCATATCCAAACATTATCAATGTGACATAAACTCGGACAGTTAAACAGATTATTTGCAGTCCACTTTTGAATATCTCCAAATGCTGTCTCAAAACGTTTCTCTCTCTAAAACCCTGAACCCTTCTCTCTCCACCTTCCAATGTCCATCCATCTCAAAATTCTCAAACCCTCTGTTCAAAACCCTAACCACAATTCATTACACACCTCAAAACCCTAAGCCCCTCCTTATCCTATCACTCTCTCAAAACCTCAACTTTCCCTTTTCCCGCCAACATGTCACTCACCGCCGAGAAGTCCGTTCATTCGCCGGCCGGAGCAAGAAAAAGCCCGGTGGGCCCTCCACCGGCCGCATCGAAGGAGGTGCTGAGATCCGCCGGGAGGCGAAGCGCAACGCTCGCCGGAGGAGCCGAAAGCTCGCGGAGAACCTGTTCTACAGACTGAAAAACCCTCACAAGAACTACCCTGACAATTTCACCGAAGAAGAGCTTCAGATGATCGGTTTGGGTTACGATAGAATGGTCCAGTTCATGGAAAAAGACGATCCGAATCTACGACATCCCTACGATTGGTATAAATACGGGGAATTCGGGCCGTACTCGTGGCGTGGAGTGGTTTTGGGCGAGCCCATTCGCGGGCGATTTTCAGATGAGTGCGTGTCGATGATAGGCGAAGTTCGTGACCAGGAGGAGTGGGACAAGATTGAGCAATTCGAAATGGCTCAAGATTTTGGAAACAGATTGAGTTCAATGGATAGGAGTACTGGGTTTCGGTACTACTGGGTGTTTGTTCGACATCCGAGATGGAGAGTCACAGAATTGCCATGGGAACAATGGACTTTGGTTTGCGAGGTTGTGGTTGAAGTTGGGAAGCAGAGGTTGGATAAGTGGAATTTGATGGGTAGGCTTGGGAACCAAACTAGGGCATTGATTACTCAATGCGCGGCGTGGATGAGACCAGACATTGTGTACGTGAAGCGCCCTGTGTATCAGTGTAGGTTTGAGCCTCAAGATGATTTTTTTCAGGCGCTGACGCCATTGCTTGATCCGGACACAGAGCAGGAGTATCTGTTTGAGGTTGAAGATGATGATGGGAGGTTCGAGTTTTGTACTTATTTTGGTGGGTTGTGTAAGATTGTGAAGGTGAATCCAAAGGCATTTGTGGATGATGTTGTGAAGGCTTATGAGAAATTGAGTGATGAGAAGAAGTCCAAATGTTTGCGGTTTTTGTTGACAAACCATCCGGTTCAGTTATTGCATCCGTATACTAAGGAGTGGAAGGCAAAGTTGGAGGACATGGAGTTGGGTTGTGATGCCCCCGAGGATGATGATGATTATGGTCGAGGTGGTAGTGCTGGTGAGAGAGAGGTCACGGATTGGATAGAGGACGGTGGCAATGATGATGGCGACTATGATGATGAGGACGATGATCAAGATGACATAGTTGTGGACATAGAAGGGGGTGTTGATGATGAATTAGGTATTGAAGAGGATGAGGAGGATTCAAGTGCAGAGGATGATGAAAAGGATTGGGATGAGGAATTGAAGAAGGCATTGAGCAGCAATGAAGCGATGGAAGGCTTGGCGAAACGAAGTGTAGAGACGTCCACAAAGTTGTATAAGCAGCAGCTGAGGATGATGGAAGAGAAGGGAAAACCAGAATTCTCAGAAGAGGGAAATGAAGATGGAGATGAATTGGCGATGAGGCGCAGTAGACCGAAAGTAAGTGTGAATGAATGGAAGTATGTTGGATATGGTCCATACAGGAGGAAGATTAAGAAGAGTAAAATCCCTCCTGAGCTGTTCTTGAAAGCGGCTGTGAGACCGTTTACCTACAGAAATCTTGTTAAGGAGATCGTTTTGACCAGACATGCAATATTGGAGGGTGACATTGGTAAGAAGAAATGAACCATTTTGATGATTTGTTCAAACGAAGGAGACAATTATTTGCCATGAACAAAAGAGGTTTATTAAGCATTGCTTCTTAATCATGTTTGATGATTGTATTGTTTTTTTTTTTTTAACCTTCAATTTTAGTTTGTGCTAATCCATCATTACAGCATCGCCTCTTTGCGTTTCATCCACAGCCTTGTCAACTACTCAAAAAGCTCAAGCTTGAATTACTTAGGAAAGTGTGTTTATTGTGTTAATTCAAGTATTATAGTATCGAATGCATATATAAGATATGCTCATGGGTAGACTCTTAATCATGGATATTCACCAGGTATGCTAAAACCATGCTGGTGATTTACACATTAGCGAGACGCAGAACCTCATTGTAACTTTCCGGGTGTTTCCCAAGTTGTAGCTGTTGCTTCACTGGTTTAGATTGAGTTCCAGCCAACAGGCAAGACAAATTGTCCCTCCATCAACCTTTAGGAACAAACAAAAACTTAATTACTGGTAATATGCAATCTGAGTAGCCATGCTTGCAAAATGTTATCATTTAAGATAGATGTTCTCCGCCTACATTAAGTTGTACATACAAAATATCAATCAGGCATTTCTGTTCCCGATCATTCATCCAGAGAGAGAGAGAGATTGAAATGAGAAAAAAAACGTTTTAGCAGAGCTAACATTTACAACCAGTAATATCCTGATCAGGTCCTCCGGTTAGACAGCACTCTGTTTTGCCAAAAGGATTAGTACATATTTTTTTATACATCAGAAGTTGCCAATAACATATCCTTCAGATTTGGAAGTATTGCTCAGGAACATAAAATTTTAATCCAACAGCCTGCAACCACAGTTTTTGTTTGGTCAGTGCAACTGTTTCAACCAGGTAAACGTGTTAGCTGATGAAATTTAATAAATCGTTTATGTAAATCCAACACCCCTTACTGAATCAGATTCGTGTACAAAATGTCCAACCACTTGAAGGTTTTGCCAGATTAATTGAAAGAATCAGATGAAATGGTCTTTAAGAAATATGATTCATTTGTTTTTCAAATATAGTTCTTTTTCCAGTAGTTATTCTTCATCGTGACAACAGAAATTATTATGGGCGATAAAACTGTGATACCTTGCTGCCATAGAAAGACTTGCCTACCACACACAGTCCACACCAACTTAGACCATCCTGTACTGGATGCACCATAAATTAATCCTCAATCAAAGTTACAGGCTGCAGAATTTCCAAAATGAAGCAATTTCAATGCTTGTAAGGATATAGCCTACAAGCCGTGGATATGCCCATCTATTCTATATATCAAGTGAAGGGGATGCTTTCTCGAAGCAGCCCCTTGTCACACCACATTTTTATTGCTGAATATCCCAGGCCCACTTGCCACAGATCCCAAACGGTGTCCACACATCAACCCCCTCATACCTACACCATGCTGCTGTTTCTTTTTTCCATGTGCTTTCTAAAGTCTCCCAGATAGCCCATTTTCCTCTCACTTCATTGATTTGGGCATGTGTTGCATCCCCAAATCAATATGTAACTTTTGTTCATCCTAAAAATCTTAGTTGGGCTTCATGACTCTTAACATGAAGCTAACCATATCACATTAATTTTACTTCTTGATATTACTTTTACTTTTCAATGTCAGATCATTCTTCTTTTTAAGGAATTATTAATAAAAGTTAACGAAGCTATAAGGCAAACTGCAACCACACCAAGTACAAGTTACTGAAACTCGTAATGCAACAAAAAATCACAATTTAAGCACAAAGTTAATATAAAAAGTCACAAGATAACTTTAACAATACCTGTGCAAATTTAATGTCAGCATCGCTATGATCATCAGGTCTGCCAGCCGCATCGCCAACATAAAAGGATCTACATATGCAAAGATAGAGGGCTATATCAAATAATTTCCCCATCTCCTATTAGTGTCATCTCAAAGAATTAATGGATGAACAAAACTGTGATATCAAATAGATACTAGTAGCTAACTTTTTCTAGTGGAGAATACTGGATACTTGGATAGAGTCTTAAAAAGCCAAAAGCATGAAAAGAACAGTAGAAGCAAGGGATAGAAAAAGAAGAATTAATAACTGATCCATATCAATTGAAATGCCAGAGTTGAACTGCTGCTCCATTATATGCCACATCCCAGGTTTGGGCTTGCGGAAGGGATCCTCTGCTTGACCATCAGATTTACCTTTAGATTTACCTAATCCACAAGCTATAAAAACCTGCAGACAGAATATTGTGATTTACTCATAGCATTCTCTTCTAGAACATTCTCTTTTATATATATTTATGCGGATGAAGTTAACAATATTTAAAAAAAAATAAGCACGAATCATTTGTAAGATGTTTTGTCTAAACAAGGCCACACGGCAACAGGAGGGCAGTGGCCAAATATGGATGTAGAACCTGACTCCATACCAGAAATCAATTGGACACATCCATTATCAGTAAGAGGGAACCGGTCATTGTGACATGCAGTGAAATTTTTTGAAAATTGGGCCAAGTTATCTCAAGTTACTACCCCATAAAAACTGCAGCATACGTTGACCAAATGAACCACCTGAATTGGGACTTCCACACGCTTTATAAAATTGTTGAGACGCCCAATTTTTGAGTCCACAGCTACCTGTCTCTTATTCTTCCAGCGCTCAATATTCGATTCATTTGTGAAGATCACCTATACATGAGAAGAAGATGATTGTGATAAATAAAAGTATTAAGGATAGATAAAAGACATAAAACTCAATTAGCCTAACTGACCACAATCTACTAACAAGTGTGCCAGAATAATAGCATTTTCCAAATCTAACATATAAAATTTCAGAGAGCTTTAATCAGAAAAAGAAGCAAACCAGCTTGTAGCCATCATTGTACAAGCTCTGCAGCTTCTCTGGTATTGAAGAATACATAAGTGACCAAGCATCCGGACCTGCTCTGGAATATAAAAGTAAAATCCATCAATCACTTTAAAGGATGCTTCACTCTAGAGTGAGCAGAATTTATGAATCCAACATGACTGACAAAACTCTCTAGAACTAGATTTACAGAAGAATCCTCCAAAAAGAGAAATCTTTTCAAACATAGACTTCCTGCTGTACCGTAAAGTACAAGTTTGGACATAGGTAAATCTAGTTTAAAGCATATTCCTTTTACTTATTTTGTTTATCAAGAAGACAAGCAATTTATATACAACAAAAAATCAACAAGATACAAGGGGCATAGCCCGGAAATTAACATCACAGGGAAGATACCCTCATCAGTAAGTACAACCAAGGTTGGAATACCCTCCAAAAACTAACAGTAAAACAGAAGACTGGTCAAATATACAATTAACTGGCCTGTACAAACTGAATTAGGAAGGTCCCTAGTAGTCACAATGTGTCAACATCAGCTGAATATTTAACCCTAATAGGTAAAGTCTGTAACTGATGCTAAAATTAGAGAAGCACCATCCGCATATCGACATTAGTTTCACCTTTTGTTCATTAAATAAAATTATTGACAACCACAAATGAAAAACCTCAAGGCGATAGCCTAATGGTAAGGACTCTCTTTAGTTAGGGCTCCTTCCTATAGCTGGGGAAACTCTCTCATTAATGCCAGCGGCATTTCTTTCGAAAGATGTCTCTTCCATGAGCTTCACAACTTGGAGTAGGACTTCGTGAGCATTATTACTGGTTTATTTGATTCAGTTCTCTGAATATAATTTTAGGCAACATGTAGAAGGAAGAATCATAAGATGCTAGTGAAAACCAGCTGTTTACAATACAGTTCACATTAGCTTATCCACCACTTCCTTTTATATTTATAATATTCTGAAAAACAAAATGCAGAACTACTTTTTTTTTTATAGGTAATAATTCAGTGAGCATTGTTATGGGTTGCTTTGGTCCAGTTCTCTGAAAATAGTTTTGGAGAACTCTGAAGACAGTTTTCGAGAACTCTGAAAACAGAAAGTAGTTTTCAGAGAATTACAAAAGGATGTCGTCAGAAATTGCCTTTTTCAACTTAGTTTCATACAACAGCTTTCAGAAAACTGTCAACAAAATAAAATTTTCTATCTGTTTTCTGTTTTTCTTAGTTCTCTAATAACAAGAAACTATTCTTAGAAAATTAAACCAAGCAATTGTTATATTTTCTTTATAAAGGTAGACATTATTAAAAGTAAATATTCATACCTTTTCACAGATGTTTTCGCAAGACATCCATCAAAGTCAAAAGCAGCAATTTTTCTTGAATCTTGAAGACCATCATCCTACAGAAGTGAAATGTTTAAACAGCATGCTAGCAACATCAGATGCCTGAAACTTGCCTTATGAATGGCCTCCAAGTAATAAGATATGCATGTGTGTAGGCATCAGTGACGTGACAATACATGTGCAAACAAATAGGTGTGAATCAACATTATCTAGAAAATAGAAATCCACTAACAACAATAGTTTCAGCAGAAGTCTGGTTCTTTTATATAGTACGAAACATAACATTTATCAGGAAGCAAAAATCAATGCAGTGAATTGAAAAAATAAAACATAGCACTAAAAACAGCAGTGAATGTTTCGTTCATTTGATAAATGTCAAACAATGTACTATTACCTTGTACTTAAAATAATAACAATTTTGTTTGGGACTTTGGGTACAAAAAAGAACTATACAGCAAATATCGGAGCTCATCATTTCTCACATGGTCAAACCAGCAGACTTACAGCCATTTGCATATAAATGACACTTCGAAACCATACCCTCATCTTTATACAAGATTTTTCAAGCAGTACAACTATACTATTCATAAATAACCATATCTCACCCGTTCAAGAAATATTATTGTCTGGAATGCCTTCCATTTTGGTAATAGTGTAGCATCCTGAATCAGGAAAAAGAGATGTTGGTAGAGGTAAAAACATGTGACTAATTGAAGGTTCCAGTGACAACCAAAATTCCATAAAAATGTAATTATGACAGTCTAAAGATTTACCCTGGCAAAATTCATTTATTCAAGTTCCAAAGCATGTTGAAATGAAGAAAAAGAAACCTTGAGGGTAGTACATACCTTATACTTGTCCTTGCTGTCAGAAGTGGAAAAGGCTAAATCCAGCTCAGCCACCTCATTGGGTGGAGACAACTAAGAGTCATTGAATAAAAAATATGATAAATAAGTAAATGCCCAACTCAGTGCAAAGGTATGTTAAAAGTTAAAACAATGAGAAATAGCATATAGCAAAGAGTAATTGTACGATAATTATAACAAACCAAAACCTAAACTATTAGGTCAACTGCAATCTGCAATTCTAAAATCGCATCCACATGGACTTGAATATCATAAATGCACTCCAATAAACAAACCAACTAGCCAGGAGTCACAAGTCAAAAGAATTATCAATACCACTTTAGCAAGGAAGACTTTATAACTAAAAGTGGTTTGTCAAAAGTAACTATGTGTGATTGATATACAGCTGTCAGGCTTAGATAGTGACAAAGCAGAGTAACTGCTTGAACCATTAGCCATATCTAAAGCAGAACCTGCATATCCAGTACCCAGGCTAATATCTCACCGCCAATTAAACAGTCCAAGGCTGCTACATTTTATGACTGAATCTATAAGAACATAAATTGAACAAGTCTACAATGACCCTAGAACATTGAAACTAACAAATATTTGTCTCAATATTTATTACACAAAAGATGTAGTTAATTTTTTACAAGTCAAATTGTACTGTAAAAGTAAAAAGGAACATCAACCAAAAGACACTAGAGAACACGGAGAAGCTGTAGAATTGTTAATGGCTCAGCCAAAAATCACTAGCGCTAGGCATTATGAATGGAATTCATCAGATGTACATATGCATAAATTATAAAAAAAATAATAATAATATATGCATATATTTCGAAATATATTAAATATATGTACATGTATATATATATACATACACACAGATATAGTTACGACACTGATTATCATGCATGAAACAGCATCAAATGTCATCCACCATATGTATGAAGTTTAGTGATCCAAACTTCTCACATTTGGGAGATCTAAATAAGCTACTTGTGTTTTGAGTTAAATGTAGACCAGTCAAATTGGTTCTCACAATTTAACAATTTTAATCTTTAAAAAAATAAAAATAAAATAAAAAATAAAAATAAAATTTAATAATCAACAAAGGAATCTGCAGGCACTATAATAATATTTCATGGTGTCTTATGCTAGGTAAAATTGGAAAAAAGTATTCCAAACCAAAGCAATCATTCAATCAACTTCAGCTAAAAGATATACCACAGAAAGAACTTCAACTGATGCCTATGGCAATTCAGGTGAAAATACTTTACAAAATCAAAATGAACTACGGAAAGTTTAAGGTTAAAACCTCATAGAACAGATTGTTGCAATCGCAGTATCTTTGGGAAATTAGATAGGGGACCAAATGCCAAATGGAAATAAGTATTGCCCACAAAAGAATATGGGAAATTTTTGTATGCAATCCTAAAGAGAACCCTAACAAAGTGCAATCCTATAGAATTTTTTGTATGCAACCCTAATGGCAAGAAGTATTACTTAGAAAATAAATGAAGAAACTGAAACTTACAAGTGTAAAAGAAATTTCTCCATTGAAATTCATCTCTCTTAAGGGTTCACACTTTCCGCAAGTGATATGTTTAGAGTAAACGTATGATGAAATTTCAAAAGAGGTCCCTGTATGTCTTTCACACGCATTCTAATGAAGCAAGTTTCCAGGGGCAAGAGTTTCTTGTAACACTTGTTACAACTATACTAGCATTTTTTTTTTGGAAGTTAAAGCAATTACACACACCCCCTACCACCACCGAGGTTCTCTGTTACATGGATTCTTCAAAAGTAGTGAAGTACCCGTGTCGGACACATATCCCTCGGACATGGGTATGGGATATGTATCCGACACTTTTGGTTGGATATGTACTTAAAAAGCATATCCAATCATTCAATTACAATATATTATTACTTTAAAAGCATTACTTTATTCTAGAAAATAAAATAAAATAATTAATAAAATGAATATTTAGCCGTGTCCGTGTATCCTTCTATTTGGAGATTTGACACGTCCGATGCATGGATACATACCCGTGTCACCCGTACCCGAGTCCATGTAACATAGCCAAGGTTCAAACCCTGACCTCCCCTTTGGGAAGGAAGGGGTGATACCGCTGGGCTAATTGGTCCTTTCTATACTAGCATGTTGATGTAAAGAAAAAAAGATTTCATACAAGGATTCATACGTTATAATCTCATGACATTTATTTTCTGTTATTAAACTGCATTTGTCTTATCTTAAGACTATAACATTACTGAACGCATAAAAGTAACCATGTTAACAATAAGATACATGTGTGATTGAAGATCAAATGTCAAGCAATAATTATTAAGCAAAGATGCATCCACCTACCTCTATTTTCTTTGAATATCTTTCCTTGGTCTCACTTGCTTCATCTTTATCTTTTTGAAGAACCTGAAAATAATAAATGTTAAGACAGACAAAGACAGATATCTTTACAGTATATAGAAGTTATAACCAGAAACTTAATTTGTTTACCCTCAAACTCTCATGCTCCATTTGGTAAGAAGGAAGGAAGAGGGGTGGAGAACAAATGTCATGCAATAATTATAAAGCAAAGATGCATCCACTTACCTTTCTTTTCTTTGGATGTCTTTCCTCTGTCTCACTTGTTTCATCTTTATCTTTTTGAAGAACCTGAAAATAATAAGACAGATATCTTTACAGTATATAGAAGTGATAACCAGGAATGAAGGAACAAGTTTCCTTCGTTTGATAGAGAGGAGACGAGGGAAGGGAAGAGATGATGGATGAGTCATCCTTCCTGGCCCACATTTTTTTACGGAAGGGAGGAAGGAAGAGAAGCAAAGCTGTTTTACAAATTGTAAATGTGCTCATCTGAAGTGGTGCTAACTAATGACTAAAAGGTTTTTGCTAATATACTACAACATCATCGAATATTTTAGATCCTTAACTGTCAGATCCTGATTTCTTGTTTTCAATTTTCAATTTTTTATTTTTTATTTTTCCATTAGTAAGTGATTCTCTATTTCCAGCTATCATCATGAACATATACAAGAAATTATGATTGAATAGAAGATGCAGGCTATCTTGAACTCAGACGCAATAAGTGAAAGAGAAAAGACATATATTGAGCATTTGAACTACGAGTTCTCAATCTTGATTCTCAACTTATGTGCACAGAAATTAGGATCAAATTGAGAATTTTCTTGATTTCTACTCCGTAAGTATACAAGTCAGATATACAATTCAATAAATCTGGATATAAAAGATAAGATATAACACAGAATTTCTTCTAGACACTTTTTATGTGTATTATTATTTGTGTAAATATAAAGTAACTAGTTTTAACCACCTGCACACAAATTACAGAAATTGAAAGCCATGCATCATATAGAAAGGCCTTGTCTCCAATTTCTAATTGTCATCTAAACGTTTTGGCGGAGTGTAATAGATATACTGCAAATCTGGAATCTATTTAACAGTTGTCTGTCAAAAAATTGTGCATGTATCAAATTTGTATTCCTTCACAATGTGTAGCAAATATTGCATGATTCAGGAATTCAGCTTATACCTTTTCCGGAGACAGATCACCTCCTTCCAGCAATTTCTTCAAGGTCTCCTTATCACCACTCTGTAAAATTGCAAACAATTGACCACTATTCAAACAAATTCTCAAACACAAAGGCCTAAACCCAAAACCCTAATGGCACATAAAATCAAACCTTCAGTGATGAGAACCCCTTGAATGCCTCGGCCGAAGTAATAGACTCCGAATTCATCGGAAAGCAGCGCGGGTGGTGCCACTTGGGCGTGTCGAACCCTCGCGGGTCTCTACTCACTAAACCCAACCGTAGATCATTCGCAGCGATGATCTTCGAGCATTTCTTGCACGAAGACCGATTGGACTTTGCATATTCCACAATGAGCTTTGAAGACGCCATCGAAGAAGAAACGAATGGTATGAAACTAGGTTTTTTTGGATCAAAGAGTGTGCTGGAAATGCGAGGGTTACGGGAGAGAGAACAGAGATTGGAGATGGTCAACATAAAGAAAGCATGATCTCGATGGGGATTTCTAGGGTTTATGGGTTGAATCGAACTAAGACAGGATTAACAATATCCCGCCATTTTGATGCCGTCGAGGTGGTATCTGTGCTTTTTTTTGCTTCTGTAAAATGCATGCACTGACACTGCACGCCAAGGGCTTGGGTTAAAGACAGACAATTTTTGGTTAACACTTCTATATTTAGTAAAATATCTCAATTATAAAAATATGTACTTATCCTCTTAACTTTTAAATTGATTGTATGAATTACTCACTCCATTCCATAACAGAGATTCATATTTAGAAATTATAATTTTTAAGAAGATACGTAATTAATGCATTGTTTTTTTTTTTAATTATTAAATTGAAATTTTTAATTTAAATATATATAATTACAAAGTTTTAAATATTTTAAAAAGATAAAGGACAATGATGAAAATATAATAAAAAAATATTTTTACTTTTTAAAGAAGACAACTAATTTGAAACATGTAAAAAGAGAAAAATGAACTAATAATATAAGTATTAAATTATCTTTATAACTTTTTCAGAATCAAAATAACCCTCAAAAATGAAAAAAAAAAAAAACAAATAAATCCTGCACCACGTCACAATTCCATCACAACCACCATTGCAATTACCCTTTTATGTTGTTGCATAATAACGACAACTATCTCAACAAACATGTAATTTTAGATGCTTTAATAGTCCAGTGGACAAGGGTGAATTCAAATTTTTCATGGACTAAATCAAAATATATCAATAAAATGTTGTTTAATTCAATTTTAGTTAATTAACAATATTTTTTTAAACAATTGACTGATTAAGGCATAAAAAATCCTATTTGGATAATTAATAATAAAAAAAAATTATCAATTTATTTCTGAACAATTCAGCACTCGGTACCCTATATTTTCTTTTGACCAATTTATTAATCCTATTTGAGAATCTAGTAGTGGAAGTAGAGTGTGAGTTAGTTCATGGGAAGCCCCTTCCAACACCATGGAATTCACTCAAAAGCACGTTTTTTTGTAAGTATTTTAATTTTCAAAAAGTAACTTTAGAGCTTTACCCTATATTAAGTACTTTTGCTTGTCAAAGTTCTTGTTATGATTACCTTCCCAAAAAAAAAAAAAATGGTTCTTCTTATGATTTTTTTTAGTTCTGAAAAGATTTCCATCTTAAAAAAGCTTAGCATGTTGATTTAGTTTGCAAAGCAAGAATTACAAACATTAATTAGTTGATTTAGAAAAAAATTTAAAACAAAACCCACACATACAAGTTAGCAGTTGCAAAGAGGAGAGGGGCAAGCTCGAGAGTTGAGAGACAGCGATTGAAGCTTGCAAACGGCGAACCCAAACTGGAACAGCGGGCGATGGAAACTGAAAGATATGGGTTTTGATTTTTGGAACAATCTCAAATGGTATGCCGATATGGGTTTTGATATATGTAATAGGTTTTGAACTTTTGATTCTTTCACAGATAGATAAACTAAAATATATGGGATTTGCACTTCTGATTCTTGTTGATTATGTAGTTTGCAGTTACAGAGAGAGAGAGAGAGCAAGTTCAGAGTTGAGAACGAGAATAGAGATGGAGGCGATTGGGGGAGGCTGGAATGATTTGCCCTAAATAAATATTTTTTTTCCTGGTGGCCCATCATTCATGGCCTATAAATTTTGAGGCCCATTAAATTGTGAGGCCCTGGGCGACCGCCTTTGTTGTCTTGGGTTAGGACCAATCCTTGGCTTATTTGACTTGGGCCTTTATTTTAGTATGGTGGCGAGTTGACTTGGCCTTGATTGGGTGGGCTGATTTTGGGGTGGGTAATACCGTAATACTATTAATAATATTTTTTTTTTTTTTTTTTTTGGGGGGGTTAAGCTAAAATTAGTATAGCAAATTTTTTTTGTGGACTCAAGCACACCAGTGCCCATTCCTACATCCGTCCTTGCTAGTGTGGGTGTTAGTGCCTCTGGTAAATTTTGGAAGGTCAGGTTTTGACTATTTGCATCTAATAATCTAACTTCTAATTCTTCTTCTTGTCTTATAAAAAATATATATAATAAAAAATAAATTGCAAACTTTCCTCCAGCCAAAATCATGGAGCAAATTAAGTGGTTCACCAATTTCCAGCACTAAATATAAATATTTCGATCACCCCAATTTATGTTTTGAGAATAATAATTTTGATTAAAAAAAAAAAAAAACTAAAGTCAATTCTGATAGTTAGAAAATATATATATATATATTTTTCCTGGTAAAAGCAAGCCAAACGGCATCTACAACCACAAAAGCATAAACCATACATAAGCAACCACTAAACAAAACAACCAAAACAAACCCTCTAACAAGACTTACACAACGGATCAGTGAGACGGGGCAACTGGAGGGTTGCCATTTCCAACCAACAGAGTGAGCTGCGACGCAAAAGACTGCGATTGAGATGACTTCGAAACAACAGAATCAGCAGTCTGAGCACCAAGCAAAATATTACCAACGACATCAAAGGCAAACTGATCTAGAACCAACATTCCTTAATGGAATCCTCACAAACTTTATGCTTCTTACTATCCAGCACAGATGAGCCCGTAACCACCATAGGATTATTAGAGCGACGCTTACGGCTATACCTCGCGGAGAGGGAACCCTGATTATAAGATGATTCTGACGAAGGGGAAGAACGACCTTTACGCCCATAACAAGACAACACAGGCCTTTACCTTTTATATCGCTTGGAGCTTTATGATCACAACGGTTCCGTCCATTAACATGAGATATGGATGGCAAACACTGAACATGTTCCTCCACATGAATGGAAGCCACAACACTTTGAGTAGGGGAGTTTGGAACATTAGCATTAACAGACCCAACCACACCGTTCCCCTCTGGAATATTAACCACCGCCGGGACACCCAACTGAAACCCCTCAAAAGAATCCTTAGACACTGCACCAATAGCAGTACCATTACCAACCCCGTCCCCAGCCACCACCCCCGCATTTGACACAATCTGGGTTGCTCCTTAAGTAGCAGCCAACTGACCATGAAACACAAGAACAGTGATGTCCCCTCTCTCATAATCAACACTCTCCACATATAGCTAATTATTACCAGGACTAACAGCAAAAACATCATTACGATCACTGTGATACCCCCGAATTTTCGGATGCAGGTTGGCCAGGCCCACGCCCGATTACCCGAGGATATCAAACCAATTAGCAATAATCGAACACGGAATACAATTAAAACAAATGAGATAAATAAAATTTGCTGAAATGAAAACTAAAATGATAATCCAATAATTGAAACCTCAGAATAATTAATTCCATTGATAAATAAACTATTCTATTACAACTGATCATCCACGAATACAAATCGTTCTCCAAATTATATAACTCGGGAATCCATCTAGTGGACCCCTAAAATACCCCACTGAACTCAGATGACTGGAAATAAAACCAAAGCCTAAAACAGGAAACAAAGTTCTACAGCATCGGTGGAGTGAATGACTGTATCTGCTCAGCACGATCCAGCTCTACCACTGGAACTAACGAACACCTGTAAAAATAAGAGTGGGTCAGGCCCACATGCAAATTCTTCTCTAACTACAATCCACACAGTGACCTGATACGCAGATACACCCTAGATATCTCAACAATAGCTATCTAGTCCATACATATATATATATATATATATATATATATATATATATATATATATATATCCACACTAAGGGACATTCACTGAACTACAGCAGGGGTCTCAACCTGAATAGAAGGCAACATGCGAAAACGCACCCAGAGGTGGGCATGAGTACCTAGACCTAACAGGGTACACCTCAACTACTATAGCCAGCTATGCATCCACTGCATATGCGCACCCTAACCAACGAGTCTGAGACTCAAGCTCATCTCGTGGTACCATAAACATATATATAAAGTCCGTCCAGAACCAGGGTATGTAGTTCAAATATTTATTGAACTGACATACAATAAACCAGCTAGTTAGTCTCTCAACTTATTCAGTTGATATGACTTAACTATCATCCATTATTTCGGGAAGCCACTCAACTTAGTTGCAGTTGATTTGACTTAACACAATTAGGATTCAATATTTTTAAATCCATTCCTTTAATCCGTTAGGTTAGGTTTAGGCGTTTTGAGCTAAACTGTCCCTAGTATGTCACCGTCCCATACCGGTGCATACAATCCTCTATATCCATGTAATTGACAGAATATATTTATTCAGCAATTTAAATCCAAAACCATGTAATTTACAACATATAAATAACAGTGTAGCAGATTAATATCCAAAACCAAAAGCTAGGTAATTGCAGAATAGTTTATACAATACTGCAACAATTACAGTTCAAAATCATAATCCAATTTCTTGTAGAATAATATATAAGATTTAACTATTAACATCCAAACCATGTAAATTACAACATATAAATAACAGTAGAGCAATTTACAATCCAAAACCATCTCAAAGAATTGCAGAAGACCTTTTTTTTTATTTTTTATTTTTTTATAGTTTCAGCAATTTAAATCCAAGAGTTAAACCATGATTTTGCAGGAAACGGTTTAAAGGCTCAACAACTAGCATCCAAAGCATGCGTAGATTACATCTAATGTATCAATGACTCTATCATGCATTAAAATAAGTTATTTTCAATCATATTATAGTCCAATAAAATTGCTAAATTAATTCAAGCAATTTAATTCTCTCCATCCGGTAACAGCGTGCTAAGTTGTATACTAGTATACGGTTTAATCTTTTAGCACAAAGCCACAATATGCTACAAGTCTAATTTTGTTAATTAAAAGTCTCCATCATACATCTAAACTTTAATTTAGAATCATATTGTAGCACCTTAAATTGTCAAATTGAAATTAGGCAATTTAACTTCCTTCCAGTAGTTAACCGCGCGCAAGTTGTTAATTAGCGCACTGTTAATTTTATTAATACAAAGAGGGTATTTTATGCAATCTAAGACTTTGATTACATGTTGAATTAATTATTGAAAAGCCCATTAGAATTTTAAAACTGTTCAGGAACCCCAAGTGCTCAAAACATTAGCTAAAAAGATCCTGTACGCACAAAACAAGGAAAGAGCCTGCTTTAGAAAAATGGAGCAGGCTCAATGCGGCATAGAGCCGGCTCTAAACCA